GGGTTTAGAATTTAAATATTTCAAAATTAAACTTTTAAATAAAAATTTAAATTCCAAAACTTGATGGCAAGTTTTGAAACTTTTCAAAACTTTCTAGATCAAAATTCAAATAATATAATTAAACCAATTAATTGGTGATTATCTAATTTTGACCTAATCCAATTCCATGGCAAGATAATTCAATCAAATAATTCAAATAATCAAGGTTTATCATATAAGGCAATAATTATCTAATTAATTGATAAATATCTTTTATTTTGACAAGGATAATCACATGATATTAATAAAAATCGGATTCTATCAATCAAAAACATTTTTGGTAATTATCCCAAGTCAAAATAAGCCAAAATCCCGAAAATCCCTCTGTCAGACTCTCTGACTCGCCGAGTCACCATTTGGACTCGTCGAGTTCATCTGACTCGTCGAGTTCATCAGGTGACTTGACGAGTCTGTCAGACAGAAGGCATAATTTTCGATTTTAAGCAATCAATAAGGATACAATGCATCAAATACAATAGAAACCAAGCAAGGCTCTGATACCACTGATGGGTTTTTAGCAAAACATCAATCCTATGGTGCACATGCAAAACCCTAAAGCTTTGGATCTAGGTTTCTCTATTGTACATGCAAGTTATCCAAAGCTTATAAACCCTAGATCTAGCATATCAAAATCGAAATAACATATAAACAGGTTTAGATGATTACCTTTTGATTGTTGCAAGAATCTTCAAGCTTTGAGACCCTAGTATCACAAATGGAATACCTCTAATCGATCACAAACACCAAGGAAAGAAGGTTAATCTTTGAGAGAGGATATGGAGGCACAAAATCGGCTCTAAGGACTCTAGGGTTCTTCTGGTAGCCGATTTTGGATGCCCTGGGCTCCTTTAAATAGTGGTGCTGCTAGGGTTTCAGTCAAAACCCTAATTGGATGACTTAGGCCTTAAGCAGTCCAATGGAACATTCTGGAATGAGGCTTGGACGATTTCAAGGTGGGTTTCCACCCTAATTTTGTCCACCCCCTTAATCCACAAGATCCACAGCCCAAAATCCAATTATCTTATAATTGCAATTCCAGTCCCCTAAGGTCAATTAATCTCTTTTTATCACAGAATTAATTTCTTAATTAATTATTGACCAATATTAATTAACTAATATGATTTCTCTTTTAATATATTATTCTTATAATATATTAATAAACCATAATAACCTCTTTCTCCATTAACTATCCAGTCAAGTTGCTTTGGTGAAGGCAACCCAAAAAGGACCATGCTACAACCGGGTCAAGTTCATACCAAATATAGTTATGGACTTAGACACTAATCCAACAGAATATTGGTTAGTTGGCCGTCCAAGAAGTACACATGTATTACACTCTCAACAGCTGAAGTGGAATACATCGGTGCTGTAAGCTGCATATCTCAACTTCTCTGGATACAATCTCAGCTTTTAGACTATGGTTTTTGATTTCAACAAATTTCGATCTATTACGACTCTCAAAGTGCCATTGTGATTTCTCATAAGCCGATCCAGAATGTCATGACCAAACACATCGACATTTGGTACAATTTTATAAAAGATCATGTTTTGTACGGTAACATTGACCTAATTTGTGTTCCAACTGATGATGAGATCGCTGATGTATTCACCAAGGCATTAGATCAGACCAAATTCAATAGTTTTCTAAACAAAATGGAAATGATGCCACCTGATCCTCAGTTTTTCAAAGAAGTTTGTACTCTCTGATGGCAACATTGGAAAGTCAAATTATTCTCAGTTTAATTTATTTATCCTCGTAAATACTTCATCTCGGAAAATAAAGGATCATTATATGTCTTTATGTCTAACCTTTCATCTAGTTTAAGCTCTTTCAGGTTATCATGCTTGAGTTAAGTCAATCTATTCCAAAATTAAATCTTGTCCGTGATTTTGAGAAGTCTCTCATGGAGATCCGGAATTTCACATTTTGATCTATCTTTGATAAAATTATATCGGAATTCAAATATGAAATGGTAATGTGATCTCGTTCTTCTCTCTTTCCGAGCTCTAATCTTGTATCTCTCGGAATTTCTAAATTCATGTTTATATATCTGGACCTCTAAGATCTTCAATGTAACTTTTTGTCTCTAATATCCATTCTGGAAATTGTGCCATTTCTCATATCAATATCAAACAATACTGAATGAATTTCATTTATCGGAAGCATCTTATGTTTTTTTTTTGAATTTCATGGATTTGACTTACCTTTCAAATAAATGGATAATTATCGATTTTTAAGTTTTTCATTAAATCTTAGTTACTGAAATTTCCAAAATATTTGTCCAACGGTTATATGATCATATTTTAAGTCCCAATAAACATGCTTTGGCACGCAAAATAAGAATTGACTGAGTCTTTTATGAATTGAATTGACAATTACTGTTTTGCACCAGCAAATGTCCTTTCACCATGGGTTTAAGTTCCACATAGGAGGGTAATTGAGTACCCCGCATTTAATGAGATCTGTTTCCGAGTTGCATTTCGTTATTGCTTCTTCGACCCGACCCGAAACAAACCTACCTATATAAGGAATTTGAATCCTAACTGTTCTCTCTTTACGATCTTTATCTCTTTTATCCTTAGAACTTCCTCTGTAATCTGCGTTCATCATCTTCAAAGCTTCAAACTCATCAATGGTGCCCAAAATCACAAAATCCCCATTGAAGAAGAAATCCTCCAAAGGATTTGGTACATCTTCTTCATCTGAACCAATCTAGAGGGACACCACTCAACTGTTTTCTCTCAACCTGCTAGATTACGACGAATCAGTTCGAGTGATGATCAAATTTATCTCCCACCATCTTATCTCAATCCCTCTCACCAAAGTACCAAATCCTAATTTCTCTCTGAGATTACTGTTCAAGGCCTTTGAACGTGTGAAGATTGACAACGGTATACTCGAGTGCTAAATTACTGATGACAAGATCTTTCCTACCACAAAAGAAACCTTCCTCAAAGTAATTGGGGTTTCCCCAAATCTAGAAGGTTTTCAAGTTGTTGAACCCACTACACAAGAATCTCAACGGTTCTTGAATCAAATCGGTTTCAAAGGGGAGTATAAGTCCAAAGAATTCAAGAAATCGACAATTCCTAGGATATGGACGATCCTCATGCACATTTTAATGAAGGGACTTCTAGAAAGCATGGAGGTACAAACTCCCTGAGCAAAGAATGGTTGTACATGGTCTGTAGCATATTCATGGGAATATCCAACATTGTTGACCTACCTGAAGTATTGTGGCAAGACTTTCGAAAGTTTTTTGTTTATCGGAAAGTAAATAAGATTCCGAGTCCGAGATTCTGGGCACTCACTCTTTAGAAAATCTACTCAGACACACATGAACATGTTCCCTTGATGTTGGAATCGCCAAAGGTATACTGCTCTTTAAAGCCTTATCATTTACCGAATCAAACTTCCTTTGGTCCCATCTGACGTCTACCACAACACATGTTGGACTCTCTTCCTTCCGATTAGCCCTTGAAAGAACAACGCCTAGAGGTTTTAAATTAGTTGACCGCCTAATTGCTACCCATACCTCAAATATTATCCCTTCGGGAAGATAGAAATCATCCAAGAAAGGAGGTCGTATTAAGATCAAATCTAAGAAGCTTCCGACCCCTTCTCCTATCCAAGTCAAAGCCAAAACCAGAACCAAACCGGTGAATTCTCTCAACAGGATTCATAGATCAATGTATGACTTGACTCTGGGTCTCTGCCAACCCTTCCTGCCCACTCTTCCAAAGCACCCTTCAGAGTTTCAAAATCACTTATATGCACTCATGGGGAGTCTGCACATAATCTACCCCACCCTCCCAACAGGATGGTTTCGGTATTGAACAAAGTTCATTGGAGCCCCCTGGAACACACTCACGAATCAATTTTGAGCCGTTTTCTTCTACTTAAGCACGATTTGTGGCCTCCGTATTCCGACAAGGAGTTGTCCCTCCAAGTTCAAAAGCCACAACCAACCGATATCCACCACGGATATAGGACGTGTGGGTGCTACTAATTTCGATTAGGATGATTTACTTGACATCGATCAAATCCAACACCTATATATTACTCAAGACCAAATCGTTTACATGATCACTGGGATGCGTCACAGAAAAGATGGTACCTTTCCACACAATTACAAGTACCCCGTGGATGCTAACATTGATGCTTTTCTTTCCGATGTTGGCAACGAGTTCAATAAGCCAACCTTCCGAAATCTCGGTGATGTTCCCAGTTTCATGGATGATCCATTGGCCAAAGTTGCGGAGAAGATTCCAAGTACAGATGTGCCCGACTCCAATCAGAATTTGGATGAGCCTCCTCAGAATGATGATGTTGTTCAAAAAACGAGTCTATATGTTCCCAATAACACTCTTTCAGATGACCCTACTCAGATCCTCGATGAAGCTAAAGGAGATGTTCCTGAATGCAATCTGATTTCGGTTCGTCCTCCTCATGATAATGCAAATGATGAAGTTGGCTGTCAGATTATGTTTGATGATGTAAACATTGATGTCTCAAATGTTCTTATTTCCCGATCAAATTTCAGTTCTTTTAATATTCCTCCTCCAAACCCCAAATCGAACTCAATTTTCAATCATCTTCCAAAGACATGGACCTAGGTGATGGTAGCGAAGATGATCACACAAAATCCCATACTGCTGGTGGCACTAGTGGTAATCCGGATGATAGTGGTGATGATTCGAGCACTTCAGGCGAAGGATCCAGTTCCGATACTGGTTCCTCAGACAAAAATATTTTTGATACCTTTGCACTGCTCGAGATGAGAGATAATATTAATCATGCTAATGCCAAAGTAGATAATGTTAACGCTCAGGTCGGAGCCATAGACTCAAAACTGGATGTTAATATTAAATTCATTCTTGATGTCAAGTCTACCGTCCCATCCATTCAAGATCGAGAGCAACAGCTAGATCAATTGATCTCTCTCCATCTCAAGCATTCAATGGAAGAGTCTGAACAATGCTATGCCAATCTCATCAATCATCATGAAGACACTGTTCGGAAAATGCTGACAGCCCATGATGAGTTAGTCAAGGCCACAAACGAGCTCATCAAGCAAACTCTCATCTGGCATGAAAAGAAGATTCAATGCTTGGAAAGGGAAATTAACTCAAAGGACTCAAAGAACCTTATGATGCAACAATTCCTCGTCAAATTCATTCAGTTTACCCAACATTTTGTGGACATTCCAAAATACAAATTTGATGAAGTCCCTTTGATCCTTGAAGACGCCCTTGATACTTTTAAAGATCAATCTCACACTGCAGACACCTATGATAATCTTTCGAAGATGGTCAACCTAATCTTTCAAAAGGTATTTGATAAGCTTGGAGAATTTAAGGATGATATGAAGCTTGCACTAAAATCTAGGCCTTCTAATGCGAGAGGAGGAGAAGTGGTTATGACCTGATGGATGCCAAGCTCGGAATTCCAAGATGAATCTATTGAAGATGGAGAGGAAGATGAGTTGATGGTAATTGGACATGAATATGATGATGTGGATATGGATAATGAAAGAGTTGTCTTAGCGCTCAAATCTGTAAAAGTGCCACCTTCGTTATGAAAAATCATTTCTGTCGAAGAGCAGAAAAATTGGTCTTCATGGCCATCAATGTTGGCTGACTCTTATAAATGAAGAATGGAGATGTCCAAACTTAAAACACAGCTGGACATTGATTCCTTCCGATCAACACAACCGAGACCACCTCCAATTCCCTTTCCCAAGATTACTCAAGTTGATGAAGTATCCCCTATCAGGAAGGATGATAATTTTCCTACCCCGGAATTAGTTATGCCAATTTCCAAAGTGATTGTGACTCCAGCCGCTCATCAAATCATTCAATTTACCCCTAGACCTCCGATCAAAGATAAGGGAAAATGAATTACTTTCGATCCGGTCAGCCTAATGAAGTCGTCAAGAAAGTCCAAGGTCTGGTCACAAGATCACAAGGCGCTTGAGGAAAGCCTTCGAATCCAAGCCTTCAAGGATTCTCCAAATCCTCTGTCTGGAATCTCGCCATACTATCCAAAAGGAAGATTATACGATATTCTCATGTTTCCTTTTGTGAGTTGTGATCTTCCTGCTTTAGACTCAAAATAGCTCGATCTGCCTATTTTTCCCCATGGCAGATTCTATGCGAAATTCCCACCTTTGCATCCATCCGATGAACAAGAAATTCTTGTTCGTGCCGAAAGAGAACGCCTGCACACTCTCTACTCCACTGATTCTCTTCCTGTGAAAGAATACTGGTCAAAACGAAGAATCACACAAAATAATGGATGCAGAATGAATATTTTGAGCAAATTCAGACAAGATTGCATGCTTTACAATTACTACATCACTAGGAATTCTTAGAAAATATCACTATATCGAATGCTAATTTTCCATCCATCGACCCAAACGATGTTCTTGTACTTGTTGTTCACCTCAAGAATAATCAAGACTCTGAAACTGGCATTGGAGCCAACAATGCTGCCTTAAATTTTAGAAAATACTATATTGCTAAATTTGGCCGTTCAGATGTCGATTTTGCTTCTTTATTCAGAACTGAGAAGTTGATTGCTCCAATCGACACCAAGCTTGAATAAATTGATCTGCTAAATAAAGGTCCTATCATAGATCCTAAGCTCGTATATGTGTAAAAGAAGAAGAATTCACAAAGAAGGAGTTTTCAGATTTCCATAAAAGCATCTACTTTACACCAATGTGCTTCAAAAAATTATCACCAAAATTACCAACTCCTAAGCTTCCGAAGCAACAAAGCTGGAACTGATCAAGCAACTCTCATGGTGGATAGAAGTCAGAAGCTGGTTGAAAATGGCATATTTGTTTGCCTTTGGAGAATAGAAGTGAAGGCTCATTGATTGCTAAGGTCACTTAAGGGATATTTTTAGTTCAAGACAAGTGATCCTTAGACAATCTGAGTTACCAAGATTTTGAGATGAATGTAGTTCTGAGATAGATGATATCCGAGATGTTAGAGTTTCCGAAGAGGGTCATAGACTAAGTGATCCAAGATCACTACTATTTTGTCATATTGTATTTTGTCTTATCTTGATGTAACGCATGTAGGATACAAATGCCAACACACCGATGTGTCAGGTGGTTGATTTGCAGTTAATGTTTAGTACACATCTCTCCTCGTGTGATTGGTCCTAGGTTTTATAAATAGGAACATCACCCTATGTAATTCCTTACTGCTTTTCACACTTTCACGAATCATCAAGAATCATCCGGTCAATCATTTTCTCTCACTCTCTTTGTTCTTGTTCCTTATCACACTTTATTACTCTTTATTATTATCTTGAATACTTTATTGTTTAATATTTTCAAGGCTTGACTGGTCTATCAGACCTAATTGGACAGATTACTTGCCTCTATTTTGTGTTTATCTTAAGGTTTGAGTTTTCAAACCTTGTCCCAGATATCTTGGATATCGCCTTGAACTCACAATAAGAGGTCTTTCAATGTTTTTACAATTCTAGTTTAAAAAATATTTGATATCATGGTTATTGCATGCATCCAAAAACTCATGTACTTTTATTTAAAATCACATTTTAGCATTGTTCTTTTATAAAATCTAATTTTATATAATTTATGCGATCAAATTTTTAAATTTAATATCTAGTATTAAGTTTTGACGTTTGAGCGCTAAACAACATTTATAGACCTTTTAATAAAAAAAATTGTAATATTAGGTTTGGAGTTTGATAAGTCTCTAAAATTCCAATTTTAAACTTATAAAATTTTAATCATCAAAATTTGTTGTTATTAATGTTTTTATAAAAAAAACGATTTTATTTTAAAATCATAATTTGTTACATCTTATGTTAAATACAAATCTTATTAAAACCAAACTCCATGTGATGTTATTTATGTTAAAAATATTATTTTTCATGTGAAATCTAATTTAACAATTATAACATAACATCAACATAAATATATACTACACCAGCATGTAAAATTACATAAAACAAACTGTGAGCTAGTGACACTTTTGTGAGCCAATACAAAAGTGTCAAATCCTTTCCTAAAGGGAAAAATAGACCAAATCTTTAACATGTTGCACTTTGTCATCCCACTTCCTTTGATAGCTCTAAGTAGCAAAACTTCAACATTTTATAAAAGTTATAAAAACCTTTATAAAATCAGAGGGGGGTGATTATCCATCTATATCTGGTAATATTTTATATAAAATAAACTATTATAACATATAAAAACAACATTTATTTTTCTAAGACAACTTTGGTGACAAGATATATATGTAAACTTTTGTCACAAAAAATAACAATTATAAAGTTGGCATAGAAAATATGTATGAACTCATTTTTAACAAAAAAAATTATCCATATTTTCCAAAAACCAAGATAATACCAAAAATATATAATCTAACCATGCTTTCAAAAATGGCTCTAGTACCAATTGTTGAGTTTATATTCAAAAATAGTCTAATTATAATGTCAAAACTACGAGATTCGCAATAGAAGCATTTTAAAATGAATATCAATAAAACCATTTTATGCCCATCAAATGAACCTTTTACAAAGCATAGAAGGATTAAAACACAACCATAGGAAGAAAAGAACTTCAACCTTGGAAGACTTTGATTCCTCTCGGGAGGTTGGAAGTTGATGAAGATGACAAGGCAAGAACACAAAGGACGGTTCCTTTACAAGTATCCACCAAGCAAGGATAAACCACTTCAAGATGTTAGTCTTCACTTTTATTAAAAATTTCTTAAGCCTTAAAGAACTTATAAAAATAAGCCTTAAAGGGGAAGCAACTTATAACACCTTAACTCTACACTAAACCATGCAAGAGAGTAGATGGATGAGAGTACCCATGCTCTCGGTTTTGGGAACGGAGAAGAATAAGAGAATAAGTTTAAAAAAACTAGCTATTTTTTGCTTCATATTGTTTTCTATATACTAACACACATGTAAGAAGGACCATACTTTAAATGCATGTGTCATGCTTTCTTACAAAGCATGGGTGAAAGAAAGAAGTCAAACACTCAAGCCTCCCACCCTTCATGCATTTCACGACAATAAGGAGGTAAGTGGGACCACGGTGTGTCTTTCACTTAAGCTTCTAACTAGCTAGTTACATGTAGTAACTAGATGATCACTTAAAGTGTCCAAATAATTGTACACGACTCATATATTCATACCAAGTGAATATAACTAATTTTTGTTCTCATTTTTTATTATTTCCTGGACACAATAATTCACAATTAGTTGCTAAAATATTATTTTCATAAATTAATAATTTTCTAATTAAATACAAGTATTGATTATATTTATTAATAATAAAATTACTCTAATAAATAATCAATAAGTAGTAACTTGCTATTAGGAGTGACCATATAGGATCATATATCATTAGCAAATATCATTTTATAATGACTCTTGGACATCAAATGTTTCAATCAAACCTACCAACATATGAAAGTATTGTGGCCAAAGTCGAAAACTCAAACATCAAAAAATGGACACGATGTTTTCTGTAAATTATAGGGATAACTTTTGTAATATACTTTCTACATAGAGACCAAACGTCATACAAAACTATTATGGAAAAATTGTAAAAGCCAAAAGTATTGTGGAAAAGTGTAAGTATGGTGACAAAAGTTTAAAAAACCAAACTATATATTATGGCAAAAAGTGTAAAAAGGAAAATATGATGGAAAAATTGTGAAGTCCATAAACTTTACTATTGCTATGAACTTTTTGTTGAATATATAGTATAACTAGGCGAATACTCGCGAGTTGTGAAGAATACAACTACATAGTTGAAATATTTATAAATATATATTTTTCATATATAAGAATGGCATTAAAGTTATCTTTGATAAAATAATTTTCCACTAAGTTGATATAAATATTTATTATTTTGAATTATATGACACGATAGACATCTATTAAAACTATATTATCTCAAATGTCTCAATGACTTCTACGCGTGGGTTACTCATAAATAACATAAAAGTAATATATAGTTTAATGCTATTTATAGTTTTTGTTATGAATAATTCACTTTTTAAAAAAATACTAGTTTAACATTTTAATTTTTATCGTTGTAATTATTTAAAACATCAAATATTGTTTTTTTTTAATGTTAACAATATAATTTTATTATATAATGTTACTTTTAACTATTGTTGTGTAAATTATTTTTAAGCTACTTATTTGGAACTCTTCATGATTATAAAATAGTTTTAGTAATTTTCTAGTTAATTTGGGATTATAATTTAACTTTTGTATTTAACACTATAATTTATAACTTTCAATTATTTACAAAATAATCTTTGGATTTTCTTTTAAGTGTAATTGAAATTTCGATTTAAATTAACCCTTTGACGTTATATTTAAATTAAGAATTTAAATATTTTATACAAACTATTCAAAATA